AGCTTTCAAAGTATTTATGAAGTACTATAATATCTTAGATTTGCTTTAAAATAATCAAATAGAGGGCAGTATGGGGCATAGTGTGAAGGACCATAACTCAAACAAGATTAGGCACAAGCTGGTAATTGTTGAAGCTGGGTCATGGATACATGGGGATTCATTATTCTATTTTCTCTGCTTTAGTATATGTTTTAAATTTTCTATAATATAATAAAAATTTTTCTTTTTTAAAAAATAAGTTTCCTTCCTCAAATATCACCAGCATAACAAAACTACGATCATAATTCAATTTTGCCCTAAAGGGAAACCCAGCACATTTAATGGCACCTTATCTTTATTTACTACTACAAAAGAACTATTTATTGTACATTTGCTATTTTAAGTTCTAAATCCTCTTGCCCCTTTGATGTATGTTCCATCTTTCTCTTTAGTAAATAAGCATTTTGAATGAAGTGAGGACAGGTTTATTTTGTCAATAATTCCTAATCCCCAAAACCTTATACATCTTACCCTATCCCCACAGTAGACTGACAAACATAATTTCATTCTTCAGGAACTGATAATTGTTTTTAGATGTCTTTAAAAGTAGAAAATAAGTTTTCTAATATATTTTTCAACTAACATATATTTTAATATAAATGGCTAAAATAACCCAAATCTATCTGACAGAACAGTTAAATGTAAAAGCAAGAGGAAGATATCTCTTGCAAGAAGCAACTTTTAACTACTGCAGCCATCTGATACAAGTAAAGGGAGCCATGATCTAATTGTTCAGAAATGGATGGGAGCCTTCTAGGTAATATTCAAACATAAAAACATTTTTTTGTCACCTAAAGTCATGGATGCTCATAAAACTATTCCTACTGCAATCAGAGACGGTAAAATTTAAATAAATCATGGGCATTTGTAGGTGGCATTTGTATTAGGGAAGCTTCATCATCTGGACTTCCAGGATTTCATGTCCAAGTACAAAGTCTGTGGTATGTCAATGTTTTTAAAAGCTCAAGAATAAATTAAGCTCAATCTCCCTTTCTCCTCTCCATTTCTACTGAATTGCCAATAACTACAAAGAAGAACTTAAAAGTTTTTTTACATGAATTAATGACTTAAATTTTATTTTCTGTAGAGTATTCCCTGGATGTTTCCTTCATCTCAATTATCAGTTTTAGCCTTCTAGTTTTGCATGACTGTTTAATGTTTATCTGATCTGCTCAGCTATAAATTTCAAGAGGGCAGAACCCAAGTCTGTTTTACCCATCAGTGTATTTCCTTATATATGACATTTAGTGGACACACAGTGCATATTTGGTGACCAATTAAGTGAAAGAATGAATTGAAAAGGTCTATATTTATCATGAGGGCTAATTTTCTCATTTTTGCAAATTAACTTAGTGTCCTTTAATAAAAAAATGACATCTTCCAATTCTTAAATCTTTAACAATGGTAACACTTGTTAAATGTTTTTGGCAAAACGGAAAAAATTTTATGAGACATATATAAGTTTTTTTTCTTAAGCATTTTGCCATTTATTTAAAATGTGTCTTTTCTTGGAGATTTTAGCTACCATGCTATTTTCAAGCAAGTCAAATTTTACTTGAGGTGGCCATCCCTGATTTAGAAGCCATTACTTCCTTACACAAGATTGAATTCTTCTGCAAGAAATTTTAACTAAGCACTCATGCAATGTGATTGTTCACACTGCTCCATGGATTCATGACATGCCATGGAGATATAGAACTGGGACTAGGGCAATGCAGCAAAAATCAAAGGGCTGATTTCTCTTCCCTATGGTTGATGTGATAATACCACAGGATTGTCAGCAAGAGACATTTATTATCTTACTATCTGAAAGAAAAGCTAGCACACCCAATATATTTCTACTACAGATGCCCATCTACCCTCTATACTAATAGAGATACTAACTAGATAGAGCACTGCTTATTATGTTTGACTTACATACTGTAACCTGTGGACTAGACCCCTGAAAACGGATGGTTAGTGGATCCCAAAACATTCAGAATTCCTTCCATGCCCACTTCCCATGCTTATGAATTCTCCTTACTTAAGTGCCTATCCCACTTCCCCACTACATATATTATAATAGCCTGGACTTTTACACACCAAGTCATAGGATTACATGCTTGAACTAAAGAAAGAAGACAGAGGCGTGTGTTAATCCCCCATAGCCAATTTTGCCCTACTTCTATTCAGAGCTGGTGTCATAGGCAGAACTCAGTAAGCATCTTTCCTTTCCAGAGAAGTAGTGAAAATACCCACAGCTTGGACCTGTTGTTCTGAAAAGTAACCGAACCTTAGATGGTCTTTCATTGTTCTCCAGATCTATTAAGCCCTAAATGTAAACTTCCCTTCTTCACATTCTAATGGAAACAATAAAGGATGATCGGTCAGTTACCAAGCATATGTAACTTCATCCCATCTGCATGTTTCAGGAGACCAGAGAACCTGCAGCTCAGTGTCAGCAAGGGGAAGAACCTGACATCATGGTCTCTCAATCTCACACAAGCTCCATGAAAAGTAAGGCCTTTTTAAGAGTGTTAAAGATGAAGAAACTACAGGTTAAGTATTTCTTTAGGGATAACAAGCTGGAATACACAGTGAGTTCCAAAAGTAAAATCTGACCCAATCCTTTAATCAGAAAGTAACCACTGTCCTCAAAAGGATGGCTTACATGCTAACTTCAAGGACTGGAAGAAGAAAGGGAATGAAAGAAAATTAAAATAGCAATGATCAATAAAAAGAACAAGGGATACAATGCCACAGAAGACAGCAAGAGAGTAAATGAACTACTTAAGTAACCCTACACTAAGATTCTCAGACTATCAAGAGGCCCTATCCAGGTGTTCCTTAACCCTTAGCCAGTGCTCTCAAACTTAAGTGCCACCAAAGTACCTGGTGATCTGTTACAATGCAGACTGATCGTAGATCGGAGTGGAGACCATCATTTGCAAATGTCTAAGAAGTTCCCAGGTGATGCCTTATGTTTTGCCTGGGTCCCCAAGCTCTAACTCCTGGGGCTTTCATACCTGGCCCTAATCTTCCCACCACTGATGTAATATCTTGAAACTATTCACACTCACATATAACATAGAGAGGCTGTAGAACATATCTGATGCCATTGACTAGAGAAGGAGAGTCCTTGTTGACTGTAATGACTCTGTCACCACCAGAAACTTTATCAGCCTTGGTGTTTTTTACAAGGAACAGCACACATCATTCTAACTTTCTTTTAAATTTACAGCAAACTTAAGTGAGTACAGTACTCACTTGTACTAAGAGAAAACTGAGGATTAATGAGCGATAAGCATCTATTTAGGTCACAGAACTAGTAACGGTGATTTGACTGTATCCATGATCAAGGCCTCGTTCTTAACCAACTTAGAAGAATCTCCTATATGTTCACAGGATCTTTTTTTAAGTTATACTATCTCTTTTTGCCATTAACTAACATTTAAATTTAGAAGAATTGGATATTACTGCTCCATTTATAAATAAAGATAATGCTGGCTTAAAAAATTAAGCTATAATATATATCTTAAGATCATAACCTACATAATGGGAAACAAGGACTTTCAATCCAGCTTACCAATTTGCAGTCTAGTGCTATAACTGGATTCTCAACCTGGTTGCATTTTTAGAATAACTTGGAGCATCTAAAAATCTCAATGCCAGGCTGCACCTCAGACAAATTAAACTAGAATTCTGGAGATAGAATGAAGGCATCAGAGTTAAGCTCCCCTAGTAATCCAATGTCAATAAACTGAGAATTCTATACCATTCATCTCCAGATTTGACTTTGGGTAAATTTTTCCAGAAAAACACTGATAGGATTTCATCAGCAAAAATATCACATGCCACAGGATATTTGCAGGAAATAATAGACTTTCTGGTTTACATATGAATCTAACCATAACATGTGCATCTTCAGAGTTCTAATCTTTTTTGAAATAAAATGTTTGTTAAATAAGGTAGACTGCCTATGCATTGAGCCCAAAGTGCTCTTCCATGACTACAAATACTCTTTTTACTAAAAACTTAATTTTTATGATTGGAAAAGTAGAATATTGGCTAGGTCTGAAGATCAGAACCATTCGGTATTAGGTGATTGCTCGTACTGTTCCCAAACAGCTTTGCTCCTGAGACACAAAGTGGCCCAATTCTCTAGTCTTTCTAGTCAGCCTTAGGATGCAAAAGGAACACTCCTTATGCTTGCTGTTTAACAGTACACCAAAGAACCATATACTTCACCATGGTTTGTGGGGGATGGAGCAGAAGGCTGGATATGAGGTGGAGAATTGTCCTAATTGAAAAGTTTGGCCAAGCTCTGAGGAATTAGGAAGCAACCAGCCTACTCAAGCCAGCAACCAAGTATTCTCGACTAAGAAGATAAAAGAGAGATAATAGAATGATCAAATGGCAGACTTCAAAAATACTGGCTGTGAGATGCCAAGAAATTATTTACCCCATACAGCTCCAGCTGAGCAACATCAAAAAGTAATGCAAGTAATGAAAAGGTTTAATTACCAAAAGAATATAGAATATGGTTACAATCGGTTTAATTTGAGTTGAGGCTATGTTAAAGGCCAGTTGCAACCATGGCCAAAAACAAATGTCTTTAAAGAAGTAATTTTCTCTACAACTTTCCTTGCTTGTGTAAGATATGTGATAAAAAGATTCCTTTGATTATTACAACGGCATTAAGATAACTAACTTATGGGATTCTAAAAATCAGATTCATTTTATATATGGACACACACACACACATACACAACATTCCACAACTTTTATATTCAAAGAAATGGCTTTTGAAATGTCAAGAAATATTAATGCGATTCTTTGTTTACCCTGAAATCATCCCCTGTCTTGAAGGAAGAGTGGCTCAGGGCTTGTCCTTGCTAAGACTTATTGCCACTGACTCCTATCTCATACACCCAGCGTGACATTGGCTTGATCTGTATTTCCCGTCACACAACACCCTCCCATCATCTTCTGACATAAGAGTCTTCACTACTTTTGGAAGTCTTGATTTCTTCTATGGGGGACAAAAGGCATTAGTGCAGGTCAGATAAACATCCAGGCTGACAGTAATCCTTTGTCATACTGGATGCCAAAACACCAACAACCAGTGGGTGGGGTGATGTGAGGTAAGGGGGGTCACTGAACTCGCAAGGACACCAGGGAGCTAATTGTGTTTTCTGCTCATGAGCAAGGTTCTGGTCAACTGAAACTCAACCACTGAAGTAAACTGAATTAGACAATAAACATCTGATAGTGCCTGCCAATCTTTCACTTATCCTCAGTGCTTCCAACACAGATGGACACTGGAGTTTGGCCGTATCCACAGATTTTTTTAAAAGCACCTGCCTGGCTTACAGATTTTATATATAACTACGACAAAATAAGTAACCAAAAAAAGTGGATAAACACGCTTTCCAAATGAGATACAAAATGGCAAATTGAGGGCAAAGAAAAACTTTCTGAAATATTCTGGAAAAAAAATACCCTTACGGGAGAGCAATGGAAAGGATTGGAACTAAAGACAGAATTTTCATACATATCAAATGGCAAATGTCCCTGAGTACTTAGAGCAGTTACCAGAAAACAAAAGATGCATCAGCACTGTAGTCAGAAGGCAGCCTCTAGCACCAGTATGCCCAAACAGCCATGTTTGTTGTAAGATTTTTGAAGTTCCAAAACTAAATGGTCACTTCTTTTACGTCTTTTTTGGGTATTGCCTCACATAACAGATACCAGTGCCATGCGGGCTGGAGTATTCCCCAAACTATTCTACATGATTCTCTGAAATTGCTACAACTATACTTAATCTTGAACTGATATTCAAGTCAAATCTACAACTTAAGATAATGAGTAAAATTTCCTTCTGTTAAATGTAAAGGTAACCAGAACTCTTTTCTTTTTTAATTCTGTGGTTGAAACTATAAACAGCCGTAGGCAGCACCGTAGGATCTTATCACAATGACAACAAAACCCAGCAATAAGTATTATCCTGCTGAGTATAATGAACTAATTAAATAAAAGCATGCAGAAACTTACAAATAGAAAAAATGCTATGAAGCTGACATTCATTATGAAAGTTATTTTCCATTTCGTCCTGGGTAAGTTTTTCATATAACAACAGCAATTTCGCCTTCAATTATAATAACAATCTATCACTTTTTAAGCTCCTACCTATATTGCTGGGCTCTGTGTGATGGTTTCATATGCATTTCTCATTCAATCCTCCATTACAAACCCATGAGGTGTGGCAAATTGTGATGTCCATGTTAAGTATGAGGAAAAGAGGCAGAAAGTTCAAATAATACGCCCAAGTCACATAATAAGTAACTATAGAATGTTTAACTCCAAAACCGTCTACACTTAAACAAGCTTGAGCGTATTCTGTGTTCACCTAAACAAATTTCAAATGACACAGCACAGCAGCTTGCCAGCATTTGAGGTTCCTTTTTCGTGCTTATTGTCTTAAGCACTTAACATTCATCACCATGTCACTCTCACTCAACCTCACACTACTCCTGCCAAGGTACTGTTCCTATTAAGCAGGTGGACAAACTGGGACTTTAGAGTTAAGTATCTTGCCCAGAGGTTACACAGGTAATCACAAAGACTAAACTTCCAAACTAAGCAAAGCTAAATGTGAATCCCATGCCATTCTGGGTATAATTTAAGTAGCTGACTGGTACAAGAACACAAAAATTGGTAACAAAATTTTATGTACAACCTAATTTTCAATTCAAATATTATTCATGTGGAACCTGACTGTCTTGCCTGCTATTTCTACTCAAACACACTGGATTTCTCTCAGGTACACAGTGTACCAAGCATCTCTACTGACAAAACTCCCAGCACATTCAAGAGTTCCAGAGAGTACGTCATAGAGTACTTTTAGGATACTAATCATATCTTCCTTAATATTTTACGAATATCTTAGTCATCGTAAAAAGACTCAGTTCAAGAAATCAGCATTTACTCAGTTCAAGAATCTTATTTATCCCTGTTATTTGCTGGCACTGTGTTAGGTCATTGTTCTTTAATAATAATGGAAATGATTAAAAAGTTTGAAAGATAAGTAATGCTAGTCTCACTCTAGAGATACAGCTATCTAGTGGAGAAGAAAGACATATAAATATTTGGATTCCAAAATATCCAAATACAACCATAGAGAAACAAAGCACTGCAGGTGCAGAAGTCAGTGCAGGAGAGAACAGGAGTGATTGACTGAAGAATGGCAGAGAGGGCTTTATAGAGGGAACCTCAGTGACTGGATGTAGGAACTCAGCAATTTTGCAGAAAGACAGGAAGGCATTCCAGACAGAGGAACAGCATGCCTAGCATATGCACAGCTTGAAGCAGTGGACATGCTGGAAGAACTGCAGGTGCCAATGTTGAACAGACATTAGACATTATGTGTGAAGAGGAAGAGGGAAACGTGAGATCATGAAAGGCACTGGCAAGTTGGAAGGGAGCTGGCCCGTCCTTGCAAAGACAACAAGAGCCAGTCACAATTTTAAAGTGCTGTGGTGATATGAGCTGAGTACTAGAAAGATCAGTCATAAAAGGCTGAGCTATAGCAGGAGAGACTTGAGCAGAAGCCAGTGAACACACAAGGACACGATAAAGTTGAACAAGCACACAAACAAACACCTCTGGAATGGAGTCATGAGACCATGGTTAATTGGTTTTAGTTTTTTAGGTATCCATACATGAGTGCACATACATCTGTGTATGTGTATTTAGCTCGTTTGCTTGATTTAACCTGCAAAAGATTAATGGCTTCTAAGGTCCCTTCTTCCTGCACTAACATTATGTCATTTGCACAAACATAACATGGGGTGCACTCATGTTATAAAATTGATGACTTAATATGATATAATCTATAATATAGAATGAGGTATTAAAGTGTGGCTGTTACCAATTAAATATGAATACCATCTAAGGCTATGATCTTTTGGACATGAACCAAAAGTCCATTAGTCTCACACTATAATTTCTTCATCTGAGAACTATAAAAGCAGTTGCTTTAGTTGACTACAAGTTTACAATACTTTTAAGCTAGGAGATATATTGATGGGACCAAGATTAGTCAAAGGACTCCTTTAGTCCCCCTGAATAAAATCTATGGTACTGAAAATGTATTCAGATGACTCAAAATTGTTCTCCTATTAAACACCAATCAGATTTGACCACATACACACACACCAGTGCTAAGCTACCTTTGTGCTCTGTCCTCTGAAGCTTAAGAAGAAAAGTTACTTATAGAAATAAACAACAAATAGCTAATTCTAATAGTTCATGGTTGATTATGGTCAGCTTAAGGCATAAATCACCATCAAAGTGTGGCATAAAAGGCAACTTGTGTAAGCCTTTGTATGCTATTCAAGATAGCAATTGAGAAGCTGATTTGTACTAAAAGGTAATGAAGCAACTGAAAAAAAAGTTCTTAACATTTGATAAACAGTATCAGAAAACAGGATTGTTTAACCATAATTTCAAAAATAAAATAATTTGGAAAAATACAAAGTGTTCTCCCTATAATCATCTTGCAATGGAAAAATGTCTATTTTTATACAATTAACATAATAGTCTTATTTTATATAAACTTATCAGTTTCTCAATTTAAGGTATAGTAGGCATTTAATACAAAGCACAAAGCTGGTAGGGATAACTAACAAACAGAAAACAGGATCAAAATACACAGATAAAAATTAAATAATCAAAGTAAAAGTCTACATCTTGGTTGAAAACATCAGTTATATATTTTATGCTAAAATATATTATGAATAAATATCTAATGATCTTTAATATCAACCAACGAATGCAATAAAAAGCCTAAAACTTATTCAAGCTAGATTGTTAACTGATATATAAGGTCCACATAAAAGGAATGCTATTGTTCTGAACTCTGAAGATTATATGAGAAGACAGGTCTCTACTTGGAGATTCCACACTTTAAGAAAAATATTCATAAGGTAAGATTATAAATAACATATATAGCAAGAAACTATTAAAACAATATATTTCAGGGCTGGGCAGTGGCTCATGCCTGTAATTCTAGTACTGTGGGAGGCCAAGGCAGGAGGATCACTTGAGACCAGAAGTTTGAGACCAGCCTAAGCAACACAGTGAGACCCCATCTCTACCAAAAATGGAAAAAGTAGCCTGGCATTGTGGGCATGCCTCTAGTCCAGCTACTTAGGAGGCTGAGGCCAGAGGACCGTTTGAGCCCAGGAGTTTGAGGCTGCAGTAAACTATGATAGTGCCACTGAGATCTAGCCTGGGGGACAGAGTGAGACTCTATCCCAAAAGACAAAAACAAATAAAATATTTGACACAGAAGAGAATATACTACAAAAAATACTAAGAATCCACTTTTGTGTGTGTATATGTGTGCATATTATTAATATATGAAGATATACTATAAAGAAGAGAATATACTAAGAAAAACAACAAAGGTTGTTTTATAGTGGAAGATATTGACTTCCTGTGGGCCAAAAGAATTTGAGTAGGTTTTCTGTTTCAACATAAGTGATTAGGATTATGTGAAATGGAATAGTTTATTTCTGCACTGTTCATGTGAACGCCTACATTGCTTTTGTCATATGAAAGGTCCCTTCAAATCTTCATTCTATGATAAATGAAAACATACACTACCTTCACACCGTAATTTACTACAATAGCATAGGCAAAAATAAAAAAATCTACACTCACTCTAGATGGTGAGTGCTATTTTTTTATGCTAAAAGGAAGGACACAAAATCACAGCAGAAAGAATATTAATATAACTCATTCCCTGGTAATTCATTTATAGGAATCACTCTAATGAAAATATATAAAATCAATGAGTATCCATTGCATGTTATAGTAGGGACTAGGTAAATAAGAATGGTACATCTAACAATGGATTATTGGTAGTTATTATTTTATAAAAGCTATGTAATATTATTCAAGCAGTTGTAATGTTTATTATCTTCTATTAATTGAAAAGTAGATTACAAATTATATCTCAAAAACTTTTTACTCTAAACTTTTACATTTTTTAACTTTTTGACTCTTATAACATTTAGTTTAAAACACAAGTACATTGTATAGTTGTACAAAATACTTTCTTTATATCCTTATTCTATAAGCTTTTTTCTATTAAATATTTTTTTATTTTTAAACTTTTTTTGTTAAAAACTAAGACACAAATGCATATATTAGCCTAGGCCTACACAAGGTCAGGATCATCAATATCACTGTCTTCCACCTCCACATCTTGTCCCCCTGGCAGGTCTTCAGGGGCAATAATACACATAGAACTGTCATCTCCTATGATAACAATGCCTTCTTCTGGAATAACTCCTGAAGGACCTGTCTGAGGCTGTTATAAAGTTAATTTCTTTTTAATAAGTAGAAGGAATACACTCTAAAACAACCATAAAAGTATACAGTATAGTAAGTATATAAACCAGTAATATAGTTTTTCATTATCAAGTATTATGTACTGTACAAAATTGTATATGCCATACTTTTATACAACTGGCAGTTCAGTAGGTTTGTCTACACCAACATCACCACAAACATGTGAGTAATGTGTTCTGCAACAACATGATGGCTACAATGTCAATGGCACTAGGCAATAGGAATTTTTCACCTCCATTTTGATCTTACAGGACCGTGTGGTATATGTGGTCCGTCATTGACCAAAAAACATTATTATGTGGGTCAGGGCTTTATTTTATATTTATATTTTACATATATATTATTGTATATAAATATATATACAAACAGAGAGAGAAAGAGTGAAGACATATGTGAGCACATGAGAGATTCATAGAAAAAAGATTTGAAGAAAATGAACCACCAGAGTGGTCATCTAATGATCAGTGAATAATAACTTATTTTTGTTCCTATACTTCATTGTATTTTCAGATTTTCTCCTATGAACACAGATTACATTTACAACTATAACTATAAATATGCTATTTTTAAAAATATCTTTCACAAAAATGAACCATATTTGTGTACAGTGTTATGTCCACAAAAATTTTGTTCACATTATTTACAATATAGATAATCCCCAACTTACCATGATTCAACTTACAATTTTTCAACTTTATGATGGGTTTATTGGGATGTAACCCCTTGTAAGTTGGGGAGCTCCTTATGAATTACAATGGGGTTACAGTTTCTACTGCATGTATATCAACTTTACACCATCCTAAAGCTGTAAAAATTTTAAGTCAAACCACCATAAGTAGGGGACCTGCTATTGTGTTGCTAGCATTAAATGCATTTTCAACTTAGGATATTTTCAATTTATTAATACTATAGATTCATTGGGATGTAACCCCAAGTAAGTCAAGTAGCATCTGTAATTAGAAAAATATGTTATCATTCTCATAGCTTTATATAGCCTGCTTGCTTCTTTTCATCAGAGAATAACTATGAAACACAAAATAAAAAACATGATTACCTTCTCCAAGTTCCACTCAGGTTGCTCACTACTTCCATCGTGCTCTATTCTTATCTTATATATCTTTCCAATGCTTCTTAATTCAACCTTAATGAAATGCAAAAAAGAAAAATTACCAGAATGTTTTAAATTAAGCACATTAAAAAATTCTTTCTCTTCTTTATACTAAATTAATTTTTCGCTTCCTGGTAGTTGAAAAGCTCTCAGGGACCCTTTCGAAGTCTAGAAATGAAGTCCTCTTAAGAAGCTATCAGTGACTCTCATAGAAACAGAATATGAGAAAGAAATACCATGAGACTTAACTAAAAATATGCAAAAAGAGTCAAATGAAAGAATAGGATAAAGAACATACATATGCTCAGTTCTCTGACTACCACACATTTCTCACTAGAAGCCAACACTTTGAGTTCCAATGACAGAAAGAGGAGTTCATATTTTAAGAAGGAAAAAAAAGCTATTTTCATCAAAGAAAAGCTAAATATAGTAATTTCTACAAGTTTAAGGAAAGTACCTATGAGTCTAGAACTTCCTTCTACTCTGAAAATCCATTCTTCTTTTACTCCTAAGCTAAGATACAGATGTTCTAGGTTCAAGGAAGAGAAACAAAACAGAGTATGTATACTGGTTAATTTTTGACATGGCCCAAGAGTATTTGTTAATCTGGGTATTGTAAAGAACCAGCTTTGGAATCAATTTTGACTCAATTAGAAGGCAGGCTGTTGTAAACTGCATAAAACATGGTGTTTCACATCTCTGGTCCTCAATTTCTTTATCTTTTGAATGGTCATAATACTCACAGCATAAAATTTTCAGCTCAACTAAATAAATTTTTATTCAAACAATTATCTATACCTGTGCAAGATCACAGGTATACAAAGATGAAAAGGATGGCACATTCCCTAACTAGAAGAAATGTATAACTAGCAAGGAAGATGGATTTATATACAAATATTTTAATTATAATAAAATACATCCAGGACACTGAACTATGAGGATTAAAAAATGTCATACACCACCTTGTTGGCTTACATAATAGCCAACATCATTATTTCTACTACAGATGCCCATCTACCTCTATACTAGATATGAGATACTATACTAGATAGATAGGCACTTGCTTATTATGTTTGACTTACATTACTGCCTACCTGTGGACTAGACCCTGAAAGAGCTGGGATGGTTAGGTGATCCCAAAACCATCAGAATTCCTTCATGCCCACTTCCCATGCTTAGAATTCTCTTACTTAAGTGCCTATCGCCACTTTCCCCACTACAATATAGTATTATAATAGCCCTGGACCTGTTACAACACCAAGTCATAGGGATTACACTGGCATTGACTGAAAGAAAGAAACAGAGGGCTGTTAATCCCCCATAGCCAATTTTGCCCTACTTCCCTATTCCCAGAGCTGGTGTCATAGGCAGAACTCAGAAGCTAGCTCTTCCTTCCAGAGGAAGTAGGAAAATATCCCACAGCTTGGACCTGGTTTGTCTCTGAAAAGTAACCGAACCTTTAGATAGTCTTTCATTGTCTCCAGAATCTATTAGCCCTAAATGTAAACTTCCCCTTTCTTCACATTCTAATGGAAAACAATAAAGGGATATCTGGTCAGGTTACCAAGCATATGTAACTTCATGCCCATCTGCATGTTTTCAGGAGACCAGAGATACCATGCAGCTCAGTGTCAGCAAGGGGAAAGAACCTGACATGCATGGTCTCTTCCAATCTGCACAGCAGCTCCATGAAAAGTAAGGCCTTTTTAAGAGTTTAAAGGATGAAGAAACTCACAGGTTAAGTAATTTCTTTAAGGATACACAGCTGAATACACAGTGAGTTCCAAAAGTAAAATCTGAACCCAATCCTGTTTAATCAGAAATAACACACTGTCCTCAAAAATGGCTACATGCTAACTTCAGGACTGGAAGGAAGAAAAAGAGAATGAAAGAAAAATTTAGAAATAGCAAATGATGCCAATAAAAAGGAACAAGGGAATCAATGCCCACAGAAGACAGCAAGAGAGTATGAACTACTTAAGTAACCCTAATCTAAGATTCTCAGACTATCAAGAAGCCTAGTCCCAGTGTTCCTTAACCCTTAGGCCAGTGCTTCTCAAACTTAAGTGCCCACGCAAAGTACCTGGTGATCTTGTTACAATGCAGATTCTGATCCAGTAGATCTGGAGTGGAGACCATCAGTTTGCATGTCTAGCAAGTTCCCAGGTGATGCCTATGTTGTTGGCCTGGGGTCCCCAAGACTCTAGACTCCTGGGGGCTTTCATACCTGGCCCTAATTTCCACCACTGAGGTAATATCTTGAAACTATTCACACTTCACAATAAATGAGAGAGGCTGGTAGAAAACATATCCTGATGCCATTGACTAGGAGAAGGAGAGTCCTTGTTGACTGTAATGACATCTGTCATCCACAGAACACTTTCTATCTACCTGGTACAAGGTACAGCACACACATTCCTAGACTTTCTTTAAATTTTACAGCAAGACTTTTAAGTGAGTATCAGTACCCACTTTGTACTAAGGAGGAAACTGAGGATTAATGAGGATAAGCAATCTATTTAAGGTCACAGAAATAGTAACAGGTTGATTTGAAGCTGGTATCCATGATTCCAAGGCCTCTGTTCTTAACCAACTTAAGACATCTCCTATATGTCAACAGGATTCTTTTTTAAGTTATACATATTTTCTCTTTTTGCCATTAGACTACCATTAAATTTAGAAAGAATGGATATTACTGCTTCCATTCTATACATAAAGATAATGCTGGCTTAAAGAAATTAAGCTATTAAATATATACTTAAGATCATATACCTAATATATGGGAAACAAGGACTTCAAATCCAGCATACCCAATTTGCAGTCTAGTGCTATAACTGGGATTCTCAACCTTGGTTGCATTTTAGAATAACTTGGGGAGCATCTAAAAATCTCAATGGCCAGGCTGCACCTCAGACAAATTAAACTAGAATTTCTGGAGATAGAATGAGGCATCAGTAGTTTTTAAAGCTCCCCAGGTAATTCCAATGTGCAATCAAGACTGAGAATCTATACCATTCATTCCAAGATTTGACTTTGGGTAAATTTTTCCAGAAAAACACTGATAGGATTCATCAGCACATAAATATATATGCCACAAGGTACATTGCAGGAAATAATAGACTTTCGTGGGTTGACATATGAATCTAACCATACATGTGCATTCAGAGTTCTAAATCATTTTTTGAAATAAATATGTGTATAAGGTATGACTGCCTATGCATTGAGCCAAAGTGCTCTTCCATGACTACAGATAACTGCTTTTCTTTACTAAAACTTAATTTTTATGATTGTAAAAGTAGAATAATAGGCTAGGTCTGAAGATCTAGAAACCATTCAGGTATTAGTGATTGCTCAGTACTGTAGCCCCAAACAGCTTTGGCTTCCTGGAGACACAAGGTGGCCTCATTCTCTATCTTCTAGTCAGCCTTAGGATGCAAAAGGAACACTCTATGGCTGCTGTTTAACAGTACACCAAAGAACCATATAGCTTTCACCATGTTGTGGAGGAGGGAGCAGAAGGCTGGATTAGTGAGGTGGAATGTAATTGTCCTAATTGAAATTTGGCCAAAGCTCTGAGGAACTAGGAGAGGCAACCAGCCATACTCAAGCCTAGCAGCCCAGTATTCTCTGACTGTAAGAAATAAAGGAGAGATAAATTAGAATGATCATGGGCAGAGCTTCAAAATACTGCCTGTGAAGATGCCAAGAAAATTATTTCACACCCATACAGCTCAGCTGAGCAACATCTAAAAGTATATGCAAGTAAATGAAAGAAGGGTTTTAATTACCAAAAGAATATAGAGATATGGTTTACAATCTGGTTATAATTTGAGTTGAGGCTGATGGTTTATAGGGCCAGTTGCAAACCAATGGCCAAAACAAACTGTCTTTAAAGAAAGTAATTTTCTTCTACAACTTTCCTTGCTTGTGTAAGATATGTGAATAAAAATATTTCCTTTGATTATTACAACAGGCATTAAGATAACTAACTTATGGGGATTCTAATAGATCAGAGATTCATTTTATATAGGACACACACACACACACATACACACACACATTCCACACTTTTATATTAAAGAAATGGCTTTGAAATGTTCAAAGAAAAATATTAATGCCGATTTTGTTTACCTGAAACTCATCCGCCTGTCTTGGAAGGAAGAGTGGCTCAGGGCTGTCCTTGCTAAGACTTATTGGTCCACTGACTCCTTCATCTCCATACACCCAGAGCGTGACATTGGCTTGAGTCCCTGTATTTCCCGTCAGCACTAACACCTTCCATTCATCTTCTGACAGAAGAGTCTCACTACTTTGGGAATGTCTGATTTCTTCTATGGGGGACAAAAGGCATTAGTAGCAGGTCAGATACAACATCAGGCTGACAGAATCCTTTGTCATACTGGAGCCAAAGGACACCAAAACCAGGTGGGGTGGGGTGATGTGAGGTAGGGGGTCACTGAACTGCAAGGACACCAGGGAGCTAATTTGTGTTTGTCTGCTCATAGCAAGGTTCTGGTCAACTGAAACTCAACCACTGAAGTAAACTGAATTAGAACAATAAACATCTGAAGTGCCTGCCAATCTTTCACTTATCCTCAGTGCTTCAACACAGATGGGAACACTGGAGTTTGTGGTTCTGTAATCCATAGATTTTTTTAAAAAGCCACCTGCCTGGCTTACAGATTTTATATAGAACTACTACAATATAAAGTAACCAAAAAAAGTGGAATTGAAACATGCTTTCAAATGAGATACAAAATGACAAATTGAGAGCAAAGAAAAACTTTCTGAAATATTTCTGGAAAAAAAAATACCCTACCGGGAGAGGGCAATGAAAAGGATCGGGAACTAAAGACAGAATTTTCATACATACAAATGGCAAATGGTCCTGAGGTACTTAGAGCAGTTATCCAGAAGAACAAAAGATGCACAGCACTGGTATTTCAGAAGGCAGCCTCTAGCAGCCAGTAGTGCCCAAACAGCCACTCTTTGTTTGTAAAGAATGTTGTGAAGTCCAAAACTAGAATGGTCACCTTCTTTACGCTTTCTTTAGCCTATTGCCTCACCTAAGCAGATTACCAGGCCCATGCAGGGCTGAGAGTATTTCCCAAACCACTCTACATGAGTTCTCTGAAATTGCTACAACTATACCTTAATTCTTAACTGATATTTTCAAGTACAAATCTTACACACTTAAGATAATGAGGTAACTTTCCTCATGTTAAATGGTTAAAAGGTAACCAGAACTCTTTTCTTTCCTTTAATTCTGTGGTTTGAAACTATAAACAGCCGTAGGCAGCACCTAGGATCTTATCAACAATGACAACAAACCCAGCAAATAAGTAGTTATTCCTGCTGAGTTATAATGAACTAATTTTAAAATAAAAGCTATGCAAAAACTTACAAATAAAAAAATGCTATGAAAGAACTGAAATTCATTTATGAAAGTTATTTTCCATTTACTGTCCTGGGTAATTTCTGTCAATATAACAACAGGCATTTTCCCTTCAATTATAATAACAACTATCACTTTTTAAGCTCCTACTATATGCTGGGCTCTGTGTTGAATGTTTCATATGCATTTCTCATTCAATCCTCATTACAAACCCATGAGGTGTGGCAAATTGCGATGTCCATGTTAAGATGAGGAAAAGAGGCAGAAAAGTTAAATAATACGCCCAAGTCACATAATAAGTAAACTATAGAATGTTTAACTCCAAAACGTCTACACTTAAACAAGCTTGATGCGTATTCTGTGTTCACCTAAACACAATTCAAATGGACACAGCAGCAGCAGCTTTGCCAGCATTTGAGGTTTTCTTTTGTGCTAAGTTCTGTCTTAAGCACTTAACATTCATCACCATGTCACTCTCACTCAAACCTCACACTACTCCTCCAAGGTACTGTTCCCTATTAAGCAGGTGGACAAACTGGGACTTAGAGGTTAAGTGACTTGCCCAGAGTTACACAGGCAGTCACAAAGAACTAAACTTCAAACCTAAGCAAAGCAAATGTGAATCCCATGCCATTCTGGGTATAATATCTAAGGTAGCTGACTGGAAAGAACACAAAAATTTGTGTAACAAAATTTTATGATACAACCTAATTTTCAAATCTCAAATATTACATGTGGACACCTGACTGCCTTGCCTGCTATTTCTACTCAAACACACCTGGAATTTTCTCAGGCCCTACACAACAGTGTAACCAGATCTCTACTGACAAAACTCCACAGCACATTCAAGAGTTCCAGAGAGCACGTGCATAGAGTACTTTTTAGGATACTAATCATATACTTCCTTAATATCTTACGAATATCTTAGTCATCTAAAAGGATCTCAGTTCAAGAAATCAGCATTTACTCAGTTCAAGAAATCTTATTTAGTCCCTGTTATTTGCTGGGCACTGTGTTAGGTTCATTGTTCTTTTATAATAATGGAAATGATTAAAAGTTTGAAAGATAAGTAATGCCAGTCTCACTCTAGAGATACAGGCTATCTAGTGGAGAAGAAAGACATATAAATATTTGGATTCCAAATATCCAAATACAACCATAGAAAACAAAAGAAGCACTGCAGGTGCAGAAGTCCAGGTGCAGGAGAGAACAGGGAGTGATTGACTGAAGGAATGGGCAGAGAGGGCTTTATAGAGGGAACCTCAGTGCTGGATGTAGGAACTCAGCATTTTGCAGAAAGACAGGAAGGGCATTCCAGACAGAGGGAACAGCATGCCTAGCATATGCACAGCTTGAAGCAGTGGACATGCTGGAAGAACTGCAGGTGCCAATGTTGAACAGAACATTAGACATTATGTGTAAAGAGGAAAGAGGGGAACGTGAGATCATGAAAGGCACTGGCAAGTTGGAAGGGAGCTGGCCCGTCCTTGCAAAGACAACAAAGAGCCAGTCACAATTTTAAAGTGCAGTGGTGATATGAGCTGAGTACTAGAAAGATCAGTCTATAAAAGGCTGAGCTATAGCAGGGAGAGACTTGAGGCAGGAAGGCCAGTGAACACACAAGGAACACTGAAAAGTGAACAAGCACACAAACAAACAAACCTCTGGAATGGAGTCATGAGACCATGGTTAATTGGTTTTAGTTTTTTAGGTATCCATACATGAGTGCACATACATCTGTGTATGTGTATTTAGCTCGTTTGCTTGATTTAACCTGCAAAAGACTTAATGGCTTCTAAGGTCCCTTCTTCCTGCACTAACATTATGTCATTTGCACAAACATAACATGGGGTGCACTCATGTTATAAAAATTGATGACTTAATATGATATAATCTATAATATAGAATGAGGTATTAAAGTGTGTGCTGTTACCAATTAAATATGAATACCATCTAAGGCTATGATCTTTTGGACATGAACCAAAGTCCATTAGTCTCACACTATAAATTTCTTCATCTGAGAACTATAAAAGCAGTTGCTTTTAGTTGACTACAAGTTTAAAATACTTTTAAGCTAGGAGAATATTTGATGGGGACCCAAGATTAGTCAAAGGACTCCTTTAGTGTCTCCCTGAATAAAATCTATGGTACTGAAAATGTATTCAGATGACTCAATCAGATTGACTCACATACACACACACAAGTGCTAAGCTACCTTTGTGCTGCTGGTCCTCTGAGGCTCTAGAGGAAGAAAAGTTACTTATAGAAATAAACAACAAATTAGCTAATTCTAATAGTTCATGGTTGATTATGGTCAGCTTAAGGCATAAATCACCATCAAAGTATGGCCATAAAAAGGCAACTTGTATAAGCCTTTGTATGCTATTCCAAGATAGCAATTGAGAAAGCTGATTTATACTAAAAGGTAATGAAGCAACTGAAAAAAAAGTCTCTTAACATTTGATAATACAGTATCAGAAAAACAGTGATTGTTTAACCATAATTTCAAAAAATATAAAATAATTTGGAAAAATACAAAGTGTTCTCCCTATAATCATCTTGCAATGGAAAAATGTCTATTTTTACACAATTAACATAAATAGTCTTATTTTATTCATAAACTTATCAGTTTCTCAATTTAAGGTATAGTAGGCATTTATACAAAGCACAAAGCTGGTAGGGATAACTAATAAACAGAAAACAGGATCAAATAATCACAGATAAAAATTAAATAATATCAAAGTAAAAGTAAACCTACTCAAATTCTTTTGGCCCACAGGAAGTCAATATCTTCCACTATAAAACAACCTTTGTTGTTTTTTCTTAGTATATTCTCATTTCTTTATAGTATATTCTTCATATATTAAATATATATGCACACATATACACACACAAAAGTGGATTCTTAGTATTTCTTTGTAGTATATTCTCTTCTGTGTCAAATATTTTTATTTATTTTTGTCTTTTGGGATAGAGTCTCACTCTGTCCCCCAGGCTAGATCCCCACAGTAGACTGACAAACATAATTTCATTCTTCAGGAACTGATAATTGTTTTTAGATGTCTTTAAAAGTAGAAAATAAGTTTTTTAATATATTTTTCAACTAACATATATTTTAATATAAATGGCTAAAATAACCCAAATCTATCTGACAGGACAGTTAAATGTAAAAGCAAAAGGAAGATATCTCTTGCAAGAAGCAACTTTTAACTACTGCAGCCATCTGATACAACTAAAGGGAGCCATGATCTAATTGTTCAGAAATGGATGAGAGCCTTCTAGGTAATATTCAAACATAAAAACATTTTTTTGTCACCTAAAGTCATGGATGCTTATAAAACTATTCCTACTGCAATCAGAGACGGTAAAATTTAAATAAATCACGGGCATTTGTAGGTGGCATTTGTATTAGGGAAGCTTCATCATCTGGACTTCCAGGATTTCATGTCCAAGTACAAAGTCTGTGGTATGTCAATGTTTTTAAAAGCTCATGAATAAATTAAGCTCAATCTCCCTTTTCTCCTCTCCATTTCTACTGAATTGCCAATAACTACAAAGAAGAACTTAAAAGTTTTTTTACATGAATTAATGACTTAAATTTTATTTTCTGTAGAGTATTCCCTGGATGTTTCCTTCATCTCAATTATCAGTTTTAGCCTTCTAGTTTTGCATGACTGTTTAATGTTTATCTGATCTGCTCAGCTATAAATTTCAAGAGGGCAGAACCCAAGTCTGTTTTACCCATCAGTGTATTTCCTTATATATGACATTTAGTAGACACACAGTGCATATTTGGTGACCAATTAAGTGAAAGAATGAATTGAAAAGGTCTATATTTAACATGAGGGCTAATTTTCTCATTTTTGCAAATTAACTTAGTATCCTTTAATAAAAAAATGACATCTTCCAATTCTTAAATCTTTAACAATGGTAACACTTGTTAAATGTTTTTGGCAAAACGGAAAAAATTTTATGAGACATATATAAGTTTTTTTTCTTAAGCATTTTGCCATTTATTTAAAATGTGTCTTTTCTTGGAGATTTTAGCTACCATGCTATTTTCAAGCAAGCCAAATTTTACTTGAGGTGGCCATCCCTGATTTAGATGCCATTACTTCCTTACACAAGACTGAATTCTTCTGCAAGAAATTTTAACTAAGCACTCATGCAATGTGATTGTTCACACTGCTCCATGGATTCATGACATGCCATGGAGATATAGAACTGGGACTAGAGCAATGCAGCAAAAACCAAAGGGCTGATTTCTCTTCCCTATGGTTGATGTGATAATACCACAGGATTGTCAGCAAGAGACATTTATTATCTTACTATCTGAAAGAAAAGCTAGCACACCCAATAACTAATTTATAAAAATCACTTTTTTAAAGGTAACATTATAATTTATTATTCTCCCAAGATGAGTTTTTAAAAAATATTCAGAGACAACTGGTCACTGTTTCATTTTACCCAAAAAAGACTAGATTCTGATGCACAGAACTTATCAGATATCACATATTATATTTAACAGTCAGAAAAAAGGTAATACATTTAAAAGTAAGAAAAATGATCAAAAAAACCAATACAGAAACCAGAAATTCAAGCCTCTGGAACCTAGAGCCCTTTTTTCATGCTTCAATTTCTATATCAGAGAAATTGAGATTATTTTTGTTGTCATTTATACTTTGGTGAGAATTTACTCTTTTTCATAAAATATATTCATAAAATATTTTGTAGGTGATAGTCTAATCAATGTATAATACTATATTCTTTTGAAATTTTTCTGGAGTGAACATTAAATTTAAGACAAAGAAATAAACATGTTCTTAAATATATGTATCCTTTGAATATAAAAACTACCGTGTTTCCCCAAAAATAAGACAGAATCTTATATTTATTTTTCCTCAAGAAGACACCCTACGGCTTATTTTCAGGGGATGTGTTATTTTTTTTTAACTTCGGTACAACAATCTACATTTATTCAAATATAGTTAAGTCATTTTCTTCTGGAACATCATCATAACTCTTCAAACCCCAAATTGCATCCTGAATTTCTTGCGACTCTATTTCCTTTAGAACCATTGGCCCCAGTCTCTCATGTCAAGGAATAGAGCTCTCATGGGGCAGATGAGAAGGGCTGCTCGTCTTCTTTACCGCTCCACAACGAAATGCATGGGTTGTGCAAATACTCTGCGTAGCCATGCCCATCACTAGGTCTTATTTTCGGGGTAGGGCTTATATTGCACAAATGCTTAGAAATCCTGCTAGGGCTTATTTTATGGGTAGGTCTTACTTTGGGGGAAACACAGTAACAGCTTATAAGCAGTTCATGTGGAATAACATAATATATATTATAAAAATAATTTGATGTTCTTCCTGAGCTGGCCACATGACAGAACCAATGCAGTAAAACAAACCAAAAAAAGTAGGCAAAATAACAAAATAAAAAGCTGTTGCTTACCTGGAGTTGAAGAAAGTAAGGTACTCCTGGCCTCAGATTCTCGTGGTAGTTTTTTCTGTTTTTTTGACTCATGGATCTTTTCTTCCCCTTGACTGGGTATTGCAGACATTCCCATTGGGTTTTCTCTGCCAACTGAAATTAAGATTTTAAAAGATGCCATCTTTTCAAAATCACTTGTTTCCTCTCAGAATACTCACCATATGTTCAGCTATGCAAGTTTAAGTTTTGTTATTGTTTCCATTTCAATGCCTAGTCAAATCTTTTTACTCCGCATTACACAGTTAACAGAAAGTGACTTTTTATTCTTACCACCAGGCTGTACATCGATGGTATCCCTATAAAACCTGTTCATTGCTTTGTAAATACAAATAATAGTTTCACATCCCAATATGAATCAAATGACTTATTCAGGATGTTTTTCTTACAGATTCTTTTCTTATAGATTCTACATGGGAATTTCTTTAATAATCTGGTACTCTGCCATTCTCAAAGGGGGAAACTGACTAAAATGTCATTCAAGCAGAATTTCATGTGACCTTTCTGAAATATGAGAATCAAAGAAAAATACACACATCTATAAATAAAGAAAAACATCAGCCACTTTTCTGCCTTTTATTTAGAAGCAAGTTGTTTAGAGTCTTGTTCAGAAACAGAAATTTCCAACTTAGTTGAATAATGACCTCAATTTTATAGTTATATGCTCATGAGTGCTATTTATATTTAGGATTTCAAAGTTCAAGTTGTTTGTGTTCATTCTTTAGGATCAGGCATAGGATGGTTATTTACTTTTTAAATGGTGGCAATTCACACTATAAATGTTAAGTTTTAAAGATCTCATCGGCAAACAAAATATTATGTAGATATCTGATTCTATAATATATAATAAAAAGTAATAGTAACTACTTCTTAACATATTTTTATACAACATAATAATACAATATTCATAACATGCAAGTCATTTTCTGGAAATGTCATCCAGGACATCCCTATTCCTTCTGCAGAGAAGGCTGCTCAATTTGCCTTTAAGCCAGGTGGGTCCAAAATCCACCATCTGGGGGATGAATACACTTGAAGCTCTGACTCCGGTGGAGCAAAGGCAATATATGTAACCTAAACATTTGTCATCTGTACCCCCGTATTATGCTGAAATTTAAAAAAATCCAAGTACTAAAGCAGCCATCCAATAATACTATGAAGCAGAGCAACTCTTAGCAGTATGCTCTCTTTGTCTGACTTTCACAATTTAAAAGGAATGTGAAATCAATAGCAATGTAAAATAAAACCTGTGACGAAGGAACGAGAACTAGAATTTGATAATAAAAATATTACCACAAGGTATATATTACACATATAGCTTGATTAAATGATTAATTAATCACTTCAGGTAGTATCTCATGGTACCACAAATTTAAGTTGTATCCAGAGCCACCAGACTATAAAGGCAGTAACTCCACAAAGTCAATTAGTAAAAATCTTTTGTCTAATGAAATGTCAGCTATTTAAAAAGTAAAATACATAAAAACTTATCAAATAGCAATTATTCTAGCGCCAAGTTACTAGTGCATGACTAGTTTAAATCTATATAACCTATTTTATTATCTGAGGCATATTTTGTTATATTTTTCTAAATAATATTGTTATGTACATAGCCAGGATGTGATGAATTGGATATGTGACAGTATTTCATTTAGATTTGTATGCTTGAATGATCTCAGCAGACTAGAATGAAGCAAAAATAAATTTTCCAAACATTTTAATATGAACTTCCATAAGACTTGAACCTGAAATAAATTCTTATTGTAATGAAAATGTAACATCTGAACCATATATTCAGTCCCGCATTTTTTCAAGTTACTAATAGCCAGAGTCTCCTGATTTGTATACAAAGTGTGGCTCAAATCATAGAAGTCGGCTGAAATTAGAATTAGAATCAGAATTAGAATAAGAAGAGGCAAATTTCTGTGCATAAGTCTCTGTTAAAATACTTATAAAAACTTGAATATGTTCATTCTTTCCTAGGTTTTCTACAAAAGTAATACTACATTGAAGTTAATGAAAAATTACATGTTATATTGATCCAAAGTTCTTTAAACAATACCTAGCAGTGGGTCTTATTACATGGAATTGTAAGTGTAAGCTTATTATCTGAAGCAACGGAATGAACAAAACTTCCCAATAATCCACATTTCCAGATAATCAACGGAGAACATTGACCACAGGCTCAGTGTAATAACTGGACATGTTAGCCTAAGGGATCAGATCTTTCCACACTTTCTCCTATATATAAGGTTCGTAGTGCTGTAAATATAATTTCATGAAAGAGATAAGAGGTTTTGCTGCACAAGCATAGCTAAATAGTAGTGGTATAAATGACTTTTATTATAAATTCTCAATATACAATAAATTAAACCAAGTCCTAATCAAACTATAGATGAAGAAATCAAGTTACAGAGAAGTCATTTATTCAAACTGATTAAAAGAGAAGATGAGATAGTATCTCTTGCCTTCCAAGAATCTGTCAATTCTATTTAAATTGCAAAAGATATACTAAGAGGTGCTTTTCCTTTCTTTAAGAATCATAATAGCAAATACTTGTATAGCACTTACTGAGTATCAGACACTCTTCTAAGCACCTTATCTATGTTAACTCATGTCATTCTTACACCAAAACTGAGTCAGGCACTCTTGGTCCTCATTTCACAGGAGAGAGGCACGCAACACCTAAGCTGTGAGAGCATATCGCTGGCAAAAGGCCAAACCAAGACTTAATACTGGCAGTCAGGCTCTCAGAGCCTATGTGCTAAAATACCTTCCTTCTCTCTCTACCCTGCTATAGTTCTGAGACTCTTATTGTTTGATAGGTGGACCCAATCAATGGGATTGCCCTCATCCTAGGCTGGACATAGCTGTGCCCTCCATACACTCATGTGCCTTATCAAACCAAACAGTGTTTAGACCCTTACTTGAAGCACTGGTGCTTCCATGGAAGGCAGGACCACTCATTCAGGTTGCATGCTAGGAGACAACAGGTACCTTCTCCAAGGGACAGTCTCTACTGGAGTCTCTTCAAATACAACCTTACTGTTCTCTTCCTACCACAATCTCTTCCCATTCCCAAGTCCCCTTATTCCTCCATGTGCCTCAGGACTTTAGCTCTTATTTCCAGAAAACTATAAGGAAAAGTTTATGCTGCTAAAAAAAAAAAAAAAAAAAAAAAAAAGCTATGGAGTTGGGCTGCTCTATCTCTGTACTGAAACACAAACAATTCAAAATTCCCAATTTCAAGGAAATTTACTTGTTTATTATTTAGGTATAGGGAAGATTCTATCTATTATATGTAGATAGTGCAGTTAGAAAAAATTCTAAAGTGGAAAAAAAATGACTTGGGGAATTACTACAAACTTGTAAATAAACATTCTGTTAATCTTCACAAAACCCTGTAAGAGAGAGTTTTTAACACTCAGAAATCCCACTGGGATTCTCTTCTTGTGAAAATGGGAAAATACTACTAGAAACTGTATTTTGAAGAATTGTTGATGCTTTCATACCCTTCCTCAGAATTCCTAGGATTCCTAATGCTCCAATAAAATTTCTAGAGCAATGTCTCCTGTATTCTTGACCTTGCTAAAAATAGGAGGTTGAAAAGAGAAGAAAACACAATCCATCCGTGCTCTAATAATAGAACTAAATTATAGAGACTATAAAGATGAATGCCTTCATTTCTATTGGATCTGTTAGTACTAATACCCAAGTTGACAAATGTAGCCTTTTATTGTCTCTCTGTTATGTCTTGCCACAAATAACTTTTCTTCTTCTCATTTCCTTTTCTAAGTATTGCAATCTCTTATTTCTCATGGTTTCTTCTCTGCTCCCTTCTTTCCTATTTCTCCTTTCTTCCTGCACTGCTATTTCTCACTGTTCTTCTTCTACTCCACCCTTACCCTTCTGCTTGATTTCAAGTCGTCTGTTCCCCTGTGGAGCTCCAGCAGCAGATGGCACGCCCACTTTGTTGAGTAGGAGTGCCATTCTGTGCCAGCCTGCGGGAAGACAGAGGGTGGAGGGAGGGGTGGTAAGCATGTCAGCAAATTAAGGTATACTAGCCCAACAATTTGAAAAATTTTAAATATAGCAACTAAAGGCTGAAACAGAATTGATACAGATATAGCAAAGAACAGAGCCAGCTATACCATCATGTTAAATTGAGCCAATTAACATTCTTATTTTAAGCTATCTTCTGTAGGATATTATACACACACACATAAAACATAGGTGGATTCTGATAAGAAAAGAGAAGCTAAATAAAAGTCAGACTAAGAAAATCACCTAGATTTTGACTGAGCCAAAATACATGGAACCACATCAGGCAAAAATTAGCAAACTAAACTTCAAGATGACTTAAAAACACAAGAGTTACTTCATTAACCTTTGAGTTCAAGCAAATACATCTTAAGATTAAATTGCTTAAATAAGCTCCTCAGATCTTCACTTCAATTTGCTAAAGAACCTGAACTTAGATATGAGAGAAACCAGTTTTAATGTTTCCCTGAGACTTTTTACAAATTCAATTTATAATCTAAATCCCATTTGTGTTGATCTTTATTCCATCTCTTTTTATACCATGAGCATTAAAAATTAATAGCAATGAAGCTCAGAATATATCTAACAGCCTCATCCCTCTCAGTGTATATGCACATATACTTAGAAAACAAAATACTCAAATATATACATGCACACACACGAATGCATATACATACAATTTAAAAAGTTATAAAGGAGCTCGATGTAGCAAAAACCCTATACCTAACATTATCTGAAAATTTCAGACAAGTGGTCTTCATTATGTTTTTCTTCCATTGCTTTTAGAATTATAACAAACAAAAAAGCCTAACAGCATGGTTCGTTCAGTAATAATGTGATGAAATTATCAGTAACTATACACAAACCATCATAAATCAAACCAAAATCAAAGTATCTCAGAGTAAACATACATTGGATAACTTGTGGATAGAAGCAAACATTCTCATCTTTGGTATAAATCACTGGTTTTGCCTGTCCATCTGACTGAAGTCCAACAAACAACCCTGGGCTATCTGTAGATTCCAGGCTTATAGATGCATTTTCCAAGTTCTTCTTAATTTTAAAACAACAATCAGTATCTCCTGTACCCTGCAATCAATACAAGAAGATTTCATAAATGAGAGAAAACACAAAAGGACAGAATTTAAAACCTGTTACTTGTAAGAATTTAAGTTTGCTTAATTTTCCAGTAAGCATGATAAATCTAGAATCTTTTTGCATAAATTGTCCTGTGTGCTTTATCCTGTTCTATAACATCCAGAAAGAGAGACCACACAATGGGCTGCTACAAGGACATACACCTTTAGACAAAGTGCTCTGAATCACAGAGAAGCTTCCACTAAGGAGAATGTGTATGCTGTATTTCCTTTCAAAGTTGCTCACCTCTACATGTGAACAAAGAACATTAAAATGTGAAATTTTCCTTTTATAAAGTACTCTAAAAGTGATGGAACGGTGGGCAGTTCTTACCATAAGTCCACTTACATTTAAATATAAACCAATTTTCTGTGCTATTCTGCATGTTCCAGATTAAATTTTCATAAATAGCATATACATAAATTACCCAAAGATGATATAGGAAAACATTTAAGAATTGGATGCCTAGCAGTAATCTACATGTCCTTCGATCATTTTAACACCTTTCCCTTCCTAAAGGCATTTTTTTTTATAATCTAATATTAGAAAATATTTTGCCTTTCATTGCTTTGAAAGTTTCTCTTATATTAATAGAATTTCAGAGCTCTAGTAAATGAGTTTTGTGAGAATAAGTTAAAATTTACAATAGCAATTACTGTTTTATTTGTAATAGAAAATTATATTCTCATCTCTGCTCAAATGTGAGCTTCTTCTTGATAAGAACCAAGTCTGTCTATCTCTCTCTTTCATTTTATAAATATAAATTAAGCTACTTTTCTCTCTTCCATTCTTGTTATGGATACAATGAGACTGTGGCCTTGATTTGTTCATGGCAAAGTAGAGAAGATGACCACACATATAGATAATAATAAGCAGAGCAAGGTGGCTGGGGTGTGGGGATAAGACATTTCAGAGAGAAGGATACCATGAACAAAGGCAGGGAGGCAACAGGAAGCATGGTATGTGATGAACAAGGATCTTAATGTTGCTGAACAACGGAGACAGGAAGATTAGCCTCAGTTTGTATGCAACACAGGGAGTTTTGGTCTTATTTTAGACCATGGGAGCCACTGAAGGATTTTATGGACAGATCTCAAATTGCTTATAGGACATTTCTTGGATACCCTTCTAATACCTCTCTAAAAGAAAAATCTCATTATTTACTCAGTTGGTTATATACTCCTTTGTAGTTTTCTAATACCTATCAACAGAACCTCAAGTTCCTCCTATTCTTCAAGTATACAGTCTTGGAGCTCCTTATTACTTTTTCTTTTTAATAAACTTTATTTTTTCAAAGTTTTAGATTTATAAAAAATTGAGAAGATATTAATACTACAGAGTTCCCATATACCCATACCCATTTCCTCTATTATTAACATCCTATATTAATATGTTGTATGTTATAATTAATGAATATATGATGATATTTAATACATTATTAACTAATATGTTATTCAAATTTCCTTAATTTTTACCTAATATCCCTTTTCTGTCCTGGATCCTATCCAGAGCCCCACATTACATTTGGTAGTCATGTCTCTTTAGGCTTCTCTTGGCTGTGACAGTTGGGTAATATATGTATGACAGATATTACAGACTCATAGACTCTCCTTCCTTTTAGTGACCTTGACAGTTTTGATGAGTAATGGTAAAGAATTTTATAGAATGATCCACTATTGGAATTTTTCTGATGTTTTCCTCATGATTAGATGGGGGTTATAGAATACTGGGAGGAGGACCACAGAGGTAAAGTTGCATTTTCATCACAACATCAAGCATACATAATTTATAACTGCTGATGTTGGCCTTGATCATCTGGCCAAGCTCTGGGCCAGCAGAGCTTGCTAGATTTCTCCATTATAAAGTTACTCTTTTTCCCCTTTCTACACTGTACACACAGGAAGGAAGTCACTATGCTCAGCGCACACCTAAAGAGTAAGAAGTTGTGCTGCAACATCCTGAAGGCAGAGTATCTTATATAGTTTATTTGTAATTATTCTACCAAAATATTTGTTTCTTCTCTCCTATTTATTTATTTATCCAATCATTTATTTATATCAGTATACACTTGTGAATATTTATTTTATACTTTAGGTTATAATATAATACTTCTTATTTTGTTGCTCCAATTGTTCCAGCTTCAGCCCTTGGGAGCTTGTTCAGCTGGCTTCTGTGTCCCTTTGACATACCCCCATTAATAGGAAAGGCGGCAAGAGGGAGAACAGCCAAGGGGGGAGAAGATTTTGATTTTTTGTTTGTTTGCATTTTTTTGTCTGTTTGTTTAGTGCTATCTTAACTTTCTGGTGCCACAAGATGCTCGAGCTTTATCTTGTATATTTTCTGTCACAGAATCAACTATTTCTCCAAGGAGCCCTGGCTCCTTTTATTGAAGAATAACATTAGAAACCAAGATCTGTGTACTAGGTCTGCTTGTTGTTCAGGGGTTTTGTTACTTCTAGGCCTTCTTATCTGATGAAGCAAAAATATGTGTTTATCCTAATCCACATATATACATATTTATAAATATTTCTATATGTAACCATCCATATCTATATTAAGCCAAACATGAACTTATACTCATGTCTCCAATTCTAATGGATTTCCATGGATCCATTAGATCATTCTATGAATTATTAATTATTCGGGCTTATTTTCCTTGCTTACCTGTAAACTCCCACTCCAAGAGTAAGAAATCTGGCTCCTACCATCTACCATTCACTTACTTGTTTCATTCCAATATACGTATATAGTATCATCAGAATTGTTAACACTTATCACCATGGGAAACAACTTTATCAACCAGAGTACAGGTCTTATGTGCAATTCCCTTTTGCCTTCAGTCTTATCCACTTCATTCATTTCCAAAGATAATTAGGTCAGCATATTCTCCACCATCCCCTTCATAGAAGATCTTTTATACATTTGTATGAATGTCTCATCATCATCTACATTCTTGTCTCAGACTTCCAGCCCTCCTAAATGATATTTTTATTTGCATACATAAAGGTTCACTCTTCATACTTTACAGTTCTATGGGTTTTCACAAATGCAAAATGTCTTGTATCCACTATTACAGCAGCTTACAGATTAATTTTATTGCCCTAAAGATACCCTATTCTTCACCTATTCATTCTATCCTCCCTTCCTTCAAACCCCAAGCAACCACTGATCATTTTATTGTCTCTACAGCTTTGTATTTTCCAGAATGTCATATAATTGGAAATTGTATAATATGTAGCCTTTTCACACTGGCTTTTTACACTTAGCATTTAAGTTTTCTCAACGTTTTCTCATTGCTTAAAGCTCACTTCTTTTTATTCCTGAATAATATTCAATTGTATGGATGTACTACAGTTTATTCATTACCTACTGAAGGACATCCTGGTTGTTTACAGTTTGTGATGATTATGAATAAAGCTGATATAAACATTCAGGTGGGAAGGTTCAATTCTGTGAAAATTATAAGGTCTGTTTCTACATTCATTGTTTTTGCATATGGACATCTAATTTTTCCAGCACAATTTGTTGAAAAATCTATCCACTAGGTTGAATCAACCAACCCTACCACTCTCATGGCCCTCCTTCTGCTTCTGAGGCCCGGATCAGAAATCTTGCTTCTGGCTCCTCCTCAGTCCAGGCTCTGAATTTGTTACGTCAGAGCCCAAGACTCTATCTCTATGCCTCCAGAGCTCCCATTAGGCCCTGGACACTGTCCTGAGATTCTGGCACTGCACTGGGACCCCCAAACCCCACTCCAGAGCTGCCACCATTGCCACAGGGCCAGCAAAACTGCTCCAAAGTTCAATGTCCTGTCAGGGACACCCCTGTGAGTAGAATATAAACAAAGAAAAAAATGAACTTAAACTGAACTCTAGAACAAATGGGCCTTACTGACATGTACAGAAAGTTCTACTCAAAAACCACTGAATATACATTTTTCTAATCAGCTCATGGGCCATTCTCTTAGACTGACCATATTGTAGGCCACAAAGCATGTGTAAAGAAATTTTAAAAAATAGAAATTATACTATGCATCTTCTCAGACCACAATGGAATAAAAACAGAAATCAACTTCAACAGAAACTCTCATCTCTACAAAAAGTCATGGAAACTAAACAACCTTCTGCTGAACAATTATTGCGTTAAGTAGAAATTCAAGAGGGAAATCAAAGATTTTTGAAATAAATGATAAAGGAGACACAAGTTATAAAAATCTGAGGGACACAGCTAAAGCACTCGTGAGAGGATAATTTATATCCATCAATGCCTACATCAAAAATAAAGAAAGATCACAAATAAACCATCTAGTGAATCATCTCAAAGAACTGGAAAAGGATAAGTAAACCAATCCCAAACCCAGCAGAAGAAAAGAAATAAAAAAGATCAGAGCAGAACTAAATGAAATTTAGAACAAAAATATATATACAGAAGATTAATAAAACAAAAAGTTAGTTCTTTGAAAAGATAAACAAAATTGACATGCCTCTTGCTAGATTAATGAGAAGCAGAAAAGAAAGAACTCTAATAAGCTCCATCAGGAATGAAAAAAGCAAAATTACAACTGATGCCACAGAAATACAAAATATCATCTATGAATACTATACAAACCTCTATGCATATAAACTGGAAAACAGGAGGAAATAGACAAATTCTTAAAAACACACAGCCTCCCTAGCATCAATCAGGAAGAAACAGAATTCCTGAAGAGACCAATATCAAGTACCAAAATTGAAATACTAATAAAAAACTATCCAAAAAAAGAAATGTCCCAGACAAAATGCTTTTACGCCCAAATTTTACCATACCTACAAAGAAGAACTGTGCCTATCCTGAAGAAATTATTCCATAACATTGAGAAGGAAGAAATCCTCCCCAGTACATCTTATGAAGCCAAGATTACCCTGATACCAAAAACAGGAAAGGATGCAACAAAAAAAGAACAGACTGATATC